GTGATCAGAGCTGTACGAGCCCCCATAAAATGACTTAAGAAAAGAAAAGCAATAGCAGAGCAGCATGGGACGGACTGCAGGGACCAGGGGACGGGCCAAAGACCACCACCATAGATAGCCTTGCCAACTCTTGGAGCTAGCCACTGTGACCTCTGCCCCAGGAGCCCCCAAGCAGGCCCGTGGCAGAGGCAGAAACGAAGTGTCCTGATTAAGCCCTGGGCTGGGTGCCGTCCCTGTTCTCTGTTGACCCTGACCCTGGTTGTGGCCTGCTCCCTCCCTGAGAAGCCCCGTCGTACCGGGGGTGCTCTGAGTGGCCATGGTGAGGGACTCCAGAACCCCGCAGAGCAGTAGCGAGTGGGAGGGGTGGTGGGTGTCAGAGTTGGCAGAGAGAGCTGGCTGGAGGGTATGTCTGTCCTTACAGGAATCACCTTTGGGTGGGGCAGCTGTGGGGGACGCTGCCCTTGTGAAGGCAGAGGCGGTTGCACGCCTCCCCCAGCCCTTCGTGTGCTATGCCACGTTTGCCACCTCGGGTCGCTGGTCAAAGACTGCTCATCCCCGGGTCATGAGCTGCCTCCCTAGGTTTTGAATCCCAGATGCCATGGTGCCTCATTCTGGGCTCAGCTGTGCTTTGCTGGGTCCTGCGAATAGTCCCAGGGGCCTGCTAGCTTCTGGCTGAAGGCAAGCCCTCCCCCCACCCCACCCCACTCACCCGCCGGCACCCTTCATCCTATGCAGCTCTGCAGCCCAGTGTGGGAGCTTAGCCCAGGCTGGTGCAGCTGAGCTGGGGAAGGAGGGGAGCCCTTGGGGAGCCTCTCCAGCTTCTCCCAGGCTCAGCCCTGGGGCCACAGGGACATTACCAGCAAGGGCACTGGCTCGGGAAATGCGCCTCCGATATGCTGATAACCACCCTTTCAGAGCCCCCCAAGAGACCCTCTAAGCCAGCGCTTCTCAACTGCTTTGGGGGTCTCAACCCTTTGGGGGTCGACCGACCCTTTCACAGGGGTCACCGATTCATCACAGTAGCAAAATGACAGTGATAAAGTAACAATGAAAATAATGTTATGGTTGGGGGTCACCACCACACGAGGAACTGTATGAAAGGGTAGTGGCATTAGGGAGGTTGAGAACCACTGGTCTAAATAGGTCGTCTCTTCTGATCCTCACATTAGTTCGTTAACCTTGGAGGGAGCCATTATTATGAGCCTGGCTTATAATCGCGGAGACTGGAGTTGAGGGGTTAGCGACGTGCTCGGGGTCACGCGGAGAGTAAGAACAAGGCTGGGATTGGGACCTGAGCGTGGCTGCCCCAAGGCCGGACCTGCACCCCAGGCAACCTGAACCGGGCACCTGAGGGCCCTGCGGCTTTCCTTCATTTCTGCCCTCACTCCGTCCATCCCTGCCAAACTCTGCCAGGGCGCTGACCGATGGGGGCTTGGTCCTGGCCTCCGTGGAGGGCGAGCCCCCTGCTCAGCGAGAGCTGGATTTGAATGCTGCACTGTGACTAGGCTTTCTCAGACTGGCAGGGATGAGGTTCTCCGCGCTGCCATCTCTTAGCAGAGCTGAGGTGGAGGCTTGATTGATAGATTGATCAATTGGATCAATCCATCCAAATCGGTGCCTGAAACTTACTCACTTACTACCGTCAAATCGATTCTGACCCATAGGGACCTGACAGCACAGGTTCGCACTGCCCCGTGGGTTTTGGAGACGGCGGCTCTTTATGGGAGCAGAAAGCCTCACCGCATTCAAGTCCAGGGGAGCCCAGTGGCCAGC